TGGCTTTCAGTCTCTTATAGTAATTATTTTTATAATTTTGACGATTAAGTCGACTAATGCTGTTGTTGTTGTGTTTGCCAGAGGTTTTGCTCCGATGGCTACCAGTGCTATCATCTCCATGAGAGCTCCCGGTGCTTATACTGCTCTCACGATTGCTCGATATTGAACCTGGACACAAAATAAGAAAATAAAACTTTGTGCAAACATTTCGTATGTAATTCATTAATAGTAAATTAATTTATCACTTGTTTTTCTCTCTAAACATGATTTCCTATTAAATCGTTAATCAAATGAATAAACATTATTAGTGTTGTTTAGAAATAGTATTATTTCGATCGCAAAAGTTTTATATGTATTCTATAGGAATATTCTGCACCCTATTGTTAGCATAGCGTAGAAATAGTGAATTTTATTTTTGTGACATTTGATTTGTAATCAATCAATTGATAACAAAACCAAATATATATATATATATATATATATATTTCAAACCCACATCCAACGTCAACTATAATATAAGTTATATTTAAATAAATTCAATATAAAACTATAAATTAAATTTAGATTTTTCGGTCCATTTTGCACATTCATGACATGAAAAAAAGTGTAAAAATATATTTGATTTAAAAACACGACTCACTTGTACTCAAAGAATCGGAGCAAAAGTGTTGATTCAGTGATAATAATTGAAGTCTTTCGTGAAGTGTTTGCTGTTTTAAAAGATAAAAATCACTTTCTTTTACTCATATTTGCTTAGCATTTATGGCAAATGTTTTCAAACAATTTCATATCATATCACACATAGAAAAAGCGCTCAATTCTTAAATACCTTTAAGTTGCTGTCATTGAGTTTATTATTAAGTTTTGAATTCAAATAATATCGCAAATCATTGAAATTCAGTGAATGCTTATTCGTCTCGAAATCCTGTCGTTTGCGACCGATTTCGCACAGATTCCTGATTTGTGTCAACGAGTCGTCCAATTCTGGCGACACATTTGCCTTCAAAACTTTGCAATACTTTTGCTGCCAGTCGTCAAACAGGGTCTCAAACTCCACGAACGATATGCCAGTCCTAAAGACATCCATTATCGCCAACAACTCCTTTTGGCTGTCATTCAGATCGCACGGGCTCTCGATGGCCGCCTCATTGTCACCGCAATTGTTCCCATTCACGGCATCCGAATTGTTAACCTTTTTAATCAAATTCTGTTCATTAAGTCGAGACAATTGCTGCCAATTCTGGAGCGCATTGTTTGCCGTCTTATTATCATTTAAATCAGGTATCGATTCACTGGATAACGAGTGCCCTTTGGATTGGATCTCATTATTCATCTCATGTTTGTTCCCATCTGTGATATCAAACGCCTCATCACTAATACTACTACTACTGGTCTTAACGTTATTCTCGTATTCCTTGCAATTACTGTACAACTCATTGCTATTCTGTTTTATATGCAATAAATCTGAATACAGTCGCAGACCATACAGATGGTGGTGAGCGGACAGTGTGCTCGACGTCGAGTACCTCAACGTCTTAAGGCTCGCCTGAAGCTGATCCGTCAGTTCACAGCCCGACACAGACGTGCCATTAATGGGTCGGTGGCTGTCGTACAGAATATTTGATTTGTGTGTTTCGCACAGGCGTTCAAAATCGCGTAACAGTGCCGCGATATCGGTGTGGTTGAGGTGGTGGGCCATCTGCTCCGGTGTCATGTTGTTTGAGTTACGCGTACGACAGGCCCGTATAGCCAACGGACAGTGCAGTAGCTTTGAGGTCAGTTCCCGGAGACCATAGACCGACGCGAAGTGTAATAGAGTCGGCAAATAGCACTCACCTGTCGATTGGACAGTTGGCTCATTAGAATGCATAGGAATAGTAGTGTTACAGATGGGGTGGGAAAGGGAAAGACAGATCAATTGATTTAAGCAGTTAATAGGCTTAGGGCTCATCTGGCAAATGTATGGCAACATATAGGTAACGGGTCATCAAAGACATCTCAAGAGACCACTTTCCCCGCTAACAAGTGCTCTATATTTAAGTGCTATTCACTACTAATTTGGTTCATCTGTTCATTCAGTTTACATTGAAATTTGTGTTAATTTTTAAATATAAGAAAAAATCATCTAAAATCCTATGTTAAGAATGGCATTAATGATAATTGCTTTAATGTATGGCTTCAATGGCCACTCACTCTTGTGGACGTCATCAATGTCAGAGTCATTGGCGGTAAGTGTGGGTCCAAAGTAGGGCAGTCTCTGGTCGAACCGTTTGGCCAGCTCTTCGTCGAATTGGCTGAGGGTCGGGAAGCCCAGGGTTTGGGACATGAACTCAAAGGGCGAGTTCACCGAAGTTAACAGTGAGTGGAGTTCCGACATCTTGGTCTCGCATTTGAGGGGACGGGTGCCCATGAAGTTCTTGGTGTCGCATACGAGGGACACATTCACCACTTTCGCCACTTTTAACATGTTATCTATTGGTTGCATAATAAACAACCATGGTAGAATAAACGAGACATTAATTTATTAATTTATTTATGGTATATATTTCTTGCTGTTTATTTTGTGTCTCATTTCGCTGTTAGTGTCAACGCATATAATGCGGGCATTTGTGACAGAATTTTCTTTTGCTTTGTTTGCTATAAATATTTCACTCAAGAATATTCTGTTATAAATATCAATGTGTTTATGCAGTGTCTGTATGTGTGTCGCGATGTATTACCCGGTATTGTGAAGTAGAGATTATAGGCATTCTTCCACTTCACTGACACTTGATTATCATTACAGCCGTCAAACAGTATATCGATTTGTTGCTTATCAGTGATGGGACTGTCCAACAGAATGAATACCTTTCCATTTCCCTAGAAAATCATACAATGAGATTCAATAACAAAAACAAAAATACCTTTCATTCAAAGATTTTACAATAAATTTTTTCATTGCATTTAAATATTCAAAGAATTTCATTAAATAGCTAAAAGAATATCTACTAAAGCATAGGGAGGTCTGGGATGCGTTTTTGGTGGACAAACCTCTTTGACTTTTCTGGGACTCAGTTTAAACTGCGGCTTATTTGCCGAGTTATTGGCATCCGATTGCTGTATAATCGTGAGCACCGCCTGAATAACGCTGACCACAAACTCCTTGTCCTGATCCTTGGCCACCAGGCACTGCCACTGATCGAAATGTACCAGGGCAGCCCTATGAAAATGCGATATATCTGACTGTTGTACCCCACACAGCATGACAACCGTGCGCCGGGGGCTCAACAGCCGGGTCAGCTCATAGACATCCGCGTGAGCGTCGATATAGTCCAATAGATCGGGGCTTATGATGAGTAGGACTGCCCTGGAGTTGGCGAAACTCTGGGTCTCGGCGCTGCTCAACGGGAAATGGATGTTCTCCAGGCGCTCGTGCACTACAGTCAACGGCTGCTGACTATCAATCATTTGTGTGAAGCATTCGGTGAGGTATTCATCCCATTCGTAGGCATCTTTGGTGAAGATTATGGTGATGTCTGGCCAGCACTCCATACTCTGATGGGTATTACGTTTATTGCCTTAAAGTATACATAAAAACACTTATTATATACGATATTATCCTAAGAATTGATTGTTTTCTACATTCAATAAGACATGTATTAAGGAATAAAACTATTAAATATTTATATTAAGATAGAGAATATTCTGTGCAATCATTTTTAAGCCATATCTATAGCATAACAAAAAAATTATAGCAAATTCTTGGTTTGGGTTTATATAGTTTCATAACTCAATGCTTTTATTCCGATCGTAAAATTCAGTACAAAATAAATATTAATAAATTAAACCACGTTTTACAACACGATTCGTGAGTTTTATATTCCCGGCTGAGTCACAGCTCATAATAGCAAATATAGTATGAAATGTAATTTTGCTGCGAGTTATTAAAGCAATTAAAGCGAAATATAATTGTTATTATAATTAATATCTAATAATTCACAGATAGGAGTATAATAACTAATACTCCCTAAACATCGAGTTTATTGTGATGTGGTATTCATTGCTCTCTTTATCCCCTTTCAGGTCATTCTCATTGGGAATCACATGAAAAACTAATTAAATATTTTCTCCGAGACTTATAATTAATAATACGATTCCCAAACCCAGTGACCCATTCATTAATGTTTTGAGCAAATTATTGACAGATGCGCTCGTAATGGATGGCAGAGTCCGTACATTTGTGGTCATATTATGGGAATACCTATAAAATTATAATTCAATTCTTGACATTTTCGCTATAATTATGCCATTATTCTCAGTGTTATTAATAATATTTGTATTTCTCCACTCAAGCCATCATTTATTACGATAACAACTATTTTCTTAACTCTATTTGTGTTACAAGTTTTAATAGTCATTATTCACGACACCACTCACTAAATGATCACTTGTTTCCCAAACACACATTGACTGCAAAAATACAGCTATTTTTAAGCAACTATTGCATCAAAAAAGTGGTGATAAATACATTTTTAACACTCGTATCATATCTTAAAATTTGAAAAATATGTAAATACTTTTTGACTTTTAAACAAATAATGGATATACAGTATATTTAACTTCTAAGAAAACACAGATTTTCTTATTTGTGTTTCTCATAAATAAATAATAGTTTAACCTGGGATATAATGGTTAAAATGGTATCATATCGTAAAAAATCACGTTTTGTGAGTCCATATTATATGACACATACACTCACTATCTGTTTGTGTTATTAGTTATTATGTTATCATTTGTTTATATCCCCATAACTCACACACAGAATATTATTTCTATAAATAAGAAAATATAATACAATTTAGGGCAAAGAATATCACAAAAGATTTTTTCACTAATATATTACACATTATTCTTGTGTTTTATCGTCAAAACCCAAGTTTAATATAAAATTATTTTTTCCAAGAATAGAGCTAAAAATAAAATCAAAAATATTTATTTTATATATAGTATAACAGTATAAATAGAATTCAATTAAATATCTCTTTGTATTTTATGTGGAAATAATGTTTTCGCATTGAATACCATTTTATACATAATTAATGCCATAAACTATTGATATAGTGATAGAAATACAGAAAATTGTTTCAATCGTTTTTGCATTATTTGAGAGCAAATGTCATTTAAGTAAACATCGAGTCAAAGAAGTTTTTGTAGCGTTTTGTTGTGCGAAAAGTATGTTTTGCTTTTGATGTCATTAACTGAGAGCACAGTTTGACTTTTTTGTGTTTTTATCGTATTATGTATGGTATGTATGGCTCATACTTTATTCAACCAGTTATTCAATGCTTTTATTTTGAGATATTCTGTGTGCCATCTCTCTCTCTCTCTCTCTCTCTCTCTCTCTCCTTATTATATGATTGCATATTATATTCAAATACACGACATCTACAGTACTACTAATGGCATAAAATAGGTTTTGACAGACAGTTTTGATTCAGTATAGAGGTTCGCACAGACTATATAGGGGTTGGGATCTCAGAATAAACCCCATTGATAGAGTCCTCGAAAATATTTGTTCACATTTTCTGCTCAAGTATTGTCACTAAAGAGGTATTCACTTGAATGTAAAGTTCAAGTGTAGGAAAACAGTGTACAATAAAAACTAAAAATATTTTTATTCTGCATAACTCTTCGCACTTTATTCTTGTTTTTTAGTGCCATTTATTTTCACACATAAAGGCACTGGTAGTGTACGGGAACGGCACTTCTGGCGTATGTATGGTGCGATATAATGCTTAAGTTTCCATTAATATTAGACTATTTAGCCCTAAATATGCAACACATCTTAATCTGTGAATAGTAATGCCGTTTATTAGGACTGGGTTTATGTCTTAATATTTAATACCATAAGCAATGATGAGCTCCTCATACCCGACCACACCATACGAGACTCCCTTTCCATTCATTTTCTATCATTGAACTAATCGATTGAGAAAACAAGACGTGAAAAACAACACTTTTAATGAGTTTTTACCCATCATTTAGAAAAAAAGTGTTTCACCAAAATATTTTCGTTCATTACACTAACGATAATAACAGGCAAAAGGCTATCGATATATAGAAGTTTGCTTTAAAATTGTTTTTATGCCAAACTTGAGTAAGTTTTCAACAAACTTAACATAACTTTCATTATAATTTATGCGAGAAAGTCTTATATTATCATATTTATGTATTAAATGTAAGTTTAATTAAATAAATATGATTATGTTTAAAACATTTTTGTTTGAAAATGTAGCGTTAAAATAATGCTATATATTCTGTCTGAAATAGACTATACTTTATAATTCAATAGCAATGAGTATGAGAGACGTCTAAATGAATTAGAAATGAGATATTAAGCGAAACATTAAAACTAATGAAATAAAATACATAACAAATGTGTTTCATTTTATAAACTCTCTCTCTCTCTCTCTCTCTCTTTCTTTCTCTCTCTCTCTCTTTCTTTCTCTCTCTCTCTCTCTTTCTCTCTCTCTCTATCATACCCGACCACACCATACGAGACTCCCTTTCCATTCATTTTCTATCATTGAACTAATCGATTGAGAAAACAAGACGTGAAAAACAACACTTTTAATGAGTTTTTACCCATCATTTAGAAAAAAAAGTGTTTCACCAAAATATTTTCGTTCATTACACTAACGATAATAACAGGGAAAAGGATATCGATATATAGAAGTTTGCTTTAAAATTGTTTTTATGCCAAACTTGAGTAAGTTTTCAACAAATTTAACATAACTTTCATTATAATTTATGCGATAAAGTTTTATATTATAATATTTATGTTTAAATGTAAGTTTAATTAAATAAATATAATTATGTTTAAAACATTTTTGTTTGAAAATGTAGCGTTCAAATAATGCTATATATTCTGTGTCTGAAATAGACTATACTTTATAATTCAATAGCAATGAGTATGAGAGACGTCTAAATGAATTAGAAATGAGATATAAGCGAAACATTAAAACTAATGAAATAAAATACATAACAAATGTGTTTCATTTTATAAACTCTCTCTCTCTCTCTCTCTCGTTGTGAACTAATTCTTAATTCTGTGATAAATAATTACTCCCTTTGCTCTAAGAGTTAAACATTAATATATGATATACACAATTCAGACATAAGGGATAAAACTGAACTCAACAACAAAATATAGTCAACAGAATATGAGGAATAAAGTAAAGCATACTATTATATAATATAAACTTTATAGTACTGTATACAGAGATAACACTATAGAGAGTATCATATGTTGAATATTCACAGCAATAGAAAAGAGAATTTCATTTTCCTTTTCATTTCATAATCAAATGTTTTTTTATATAAGACTGAAATTACAAAATAGAGTCAAGTTATACAACATTCAAGTCAAACGTCGAGAGAGAGAGAGAGAGACAGAGAGAGAGAGTTTATAAAATGAAACACATTTGTTATGTATTTTATTTCATTAGTTTTAATGTTTCGATTGAGTTCAGTTTTAGACCTTATGTCTGAATTGTGTATATCATATATTAATGTTTAACTCTTAGAGCAAAGGGAGTAATTATTTATCACAGAATTAAGAATTAGTTCACAACGAGAGAGAGAGAGAGGACTGGTATCTGAATCTCATTTCGATGACTCTGTTTTCATATGTAAATGAATATCACGAGTGATAGAGAAAATAGAAATATATTTTCGCAAAAGTATATAACACATGATATAAGAAAAATATTTTCCGATTGAAAATCCAGACACAAAACACTGCGAAGAATCGACTGGTGCTCAAGACATCGGTGTATATATACTGAGAGTGTCAGTGATTGTCATATGTGTCACATATGGCTCGGAGTTTGTCTTCAAATGTTTTTATAGTATAATTTCTGAGTAAAACTTTACTCCACTGGCAATGAAAGGAGTTTCCGAAACAGTCAAATGCATTGACGAGAAATTTTTTACTACTAAATAATGCCAAAGTGTACTCAAAAAACATACACTATTTTAAGTATCAAAAAGTCTGGACTGTTTTCATAGCTACCCCTCCTTATAGTAACTTTAAGTTCACGTCTAATACTGTACTTAATTGTGATTTATTTGTTAGTCGTGTTTAATTAATGCTCGACAGTCATTAAGTCATTCATTTGGCTACTGAATGTCAAATGCAAATAAAATGTTTTGTGATTTAAACTACACATCAGTTTTTGAGATAATTATTTTGAAATATACTTTAAAAGGGATATACAAATAGTGCCGAAAAGGTCACAAAGTTGATACACTATAGGCAGTAATGAACAGCAATTCTGTTGTGTATTATTATAATGAAGTCATGAATAGAGTGATAGAAAATGAGTACAAAATTCTGTAATGAGTTTTATAATGAAAATATAGCGTAAAAGTTGCAAACAATTAAACTTTAAACATAGCTAAACATATTTAACGTATAATTGTGTATAAAATTACAGTTAAGTCTAACTAGTGTTGAGTGAATATTCATGAATACAAACGAGACTTTTATAAGTAATGAAAAAATCATTTTAATGATAGGAAATATTGTATTCATAGCTGCCTTACCTCTGCGGAAGGACCAGGTCTTCCTGTCCAGCCATGAAAGTCTGCGCCAGGATCTGGTGGTAGTGCTAACAGTGCCACTACTACCAGCGCCCATAGCCTCAGTCGCGCCGTTCATATTCGCGTTTGTCGTATGAGTTGCCGACGATATAAACGATTTGGACTTAATTGCAGGTATCGTACGGATAGTGTTGATAGCCTTGAGGGTGTTGGTGGACAACGACCTGCCGATACCGCCACCGGAGGCGCCCACACCTCCCGCACACTCTTTCTTATAGGAGTTTCGTTTGGCGTGAATGGTATCCAAACCAGACATCGATAGTAGAGACGAAAGCATAACTCAAACGCCAAATGCTTCGTCGAAAAAGTTTTTTTTGTTGATTTTGATTTTCAATATAAGTTTCACAGTTTTGAAGTGAAAAAACAAAATTTACAAAAAGTTTTCTGAACTCCAAAATCGTTATGAAAAACAGAGACAACGAGATAACCAAAAAAAAACTGAAAAGTTTTCAAAACTCAATGAAAAGCATAACTTATTTTGCGTGAAAGAAATTTCTGTTCACTTTGAAAACGCTGTTAAGCGACCTTTTCGTGAAAATGCTCCTTGACCACCTGTTTGTGAATACCCCCTTGACCTGCAGTGAATCCCCATGCTGTATATTAAACACGCGGAAACTATTCGTGAACATCTGGACAGGGAGGCGAGTGGCACAAACACATTACGCTCACACATACACACCAGTGGTGTATGACATACAGGATGTATGGGTTGCACGTGTCTGAGCATCACAAGGCCTACCAAACCCACATCACCCGCAATATACTCCGTAAACTCCTTAAAAACAGTTGCCTTTTAATGAGCACTGATTTGAACGGAAGATTTTTTTAGTCAAACTTTTAACCCCTAATCTACTAATGAAACTACAGATTAAGATATGGTTTCCCTTATTGTATGCGTTTATGAAGTGCTCTGTAATTGCATTATTGTCTCACAAATAAGTGCCAAAAACGCATAGACTTTATAACGCTGTCTACCCTATGGTATAGTATAGTAATATGCCTACAAGTGTTGTACCAAGAAAAATATGCTTTTGAAAGGGTAGGGGCAGGGCGTGGGGACCGACACCACAGAGAGAAAGGTCACATGAAATTGAAGTCATGTGTCGCTCTCCGGTATCTATCAAAGGCAGAAAAGTTGAGGAGAAAAAAGATTTAGTGATTCAGTGGTCACAGAATCCGCGCACAGAATATGATAGAGTAGTATACGAGTAGTCGTAAGGCTTTCCTTTCATATAGTGTTTTGACGTCTATTTGTATTTCCATTCATGAGATATTCAATGNCTACAAGTGCTTATCAAAGGCGCACAAATTATATGTCGTACCCCTAAGTGACGTCCAGTTCCCCCATAAGTGTTTGTCCACCAGTTCCTCGTAAAAGTGCTTTTCCAGCGAATTGTCGCAAAAGTTTTTGAACAGAAATTTCTTTCACGCAAAATAAGTTATGCTTTTCATTGAGTTTTGAAAACTTTTCAGTTTTTTTCGTTATCTCGTTGTCTCTGTTTTTCATAACGATTTTGGAGTTCAGAAAACTTTTTGTAAATTTTGTTTTTTCACTTCAAAACTGTGAAACTTATATTGAAAATCAAAATCAACAAAAAAACTTTTTCTTGGCGTTTGAGTTATGCTTTCATCTCTACTATCGATGTCTGGTTTGGATACCATTCACGCCAAACGAAACTCCTATAAGAAAGAGTGTGCGGCAGGTGTGGGCGCCTCCGGTGGCGGTATCGGCAGGTCGTTGTCCACCAACACCCTCAAGGCTATCAACACTATCCGTACGATACCTGCAATTAAGTCCAAATCGTTTATATCGTCGGCAACTCATACGACAAACGCCGATATGAACGGCGCGACTGAGGCTATGGGCGCCGGTAGTAGTGACACTGTTAGCACTACCACCAGATCCTGGCGCAGACTTTCATGGCTGGACAGGAAGACCTGGTCCTTCCGCAGAGGTAAGGCAGCTATGAATACAATATTATCATTAAAATGATTTTTTCATTACTTATCAAAGTCTCGTTTGTATTCATGAATATTCACTGAACACTAGTTAGACTTAACTGTAATTTTATACACAATTATACGTTAAATATGTTTAGAGTTTAATTGTTTGCAACTTTTACGCTATATTTTCATTATAAAACTCATTACAGAATTTTGTACTCATTTTCTATCACTCTATTCATGACTTCATTATAATAATACACAACAGAATTGCTGTTCATT